AATTAAATTAAATTAAATTAAATTAAAGGGACTCCAGAGGATGGTAGAGGACAGGAAGGCCTGGAGGAACGTGGTCCATGGGGTCGCGATGGTTTGGCGCAACTAGCAACAACAGAAGTTGAAAGTTTGCTAGCTGTTGTGATGTCCTTTTTCTCAAGGCCTTTTCGTGGCTCGGGAACATTTTTTCAGAGGGAAGAACAAACAGCGCGGCTCAGCAACCTCTGGAAACAATGCCCTGCTTACATGGGAGGGGGGTTTATTGTGGGGTGGGGGAATCTCTTGGCTTCCTCCAACTTGCTTCCTGCCAGTTTTTTTTTTTTTTTCCCCGCCTGGCTTCCTCCGTCCGGGGAAGGGAAAATTCGAAGAGCAGCTGGGGAAAAGGTGCACGGAGAACCCCGTGGCCAGCCGGCCGAGATTCCAACCTCTCCATTGCTCGGCAGAACAATAGGCCGATTCTCCGGCCGTCCTCAGACACAATGGAGCGTCCAGTGCGGTCAGCCTCCCCCACGAAATGTCTGCCTTGCCTACGGATGGTGGGAACGGAGCCCAGCCAACCTCTGGGTTCCCTTGCTGGGATTTCGACCGAGGGCATATAAGGGGCGTTTTGCTATCGGCGGGATTTGGGGGGAGCGTTGAAATGAAGAGCGACAGGGCCTCTGACCACGTGCAGAGGGCCTGTGCTTGCAACCTGCTTCCCCGACCCGCGTTTCAAAGGGAGGTTGTTAAGAGTGGCAGGGTCTCTGACCATGTGCAGAGGGCCTGTGCTTGCAACTTGCTTCCCCGACTGGCATTCCAAAGTGAAGTTATTGTTCTCTGTTTACGGAGTTCATTTAGCAACTGTGTCAAACTCACAACGGCGCTGGAAAAAAAAGTGACTTTCAACCGTTTTTCCATGCTTAACGACCTTGGCAAGCAATTCCCACGATCAGAATTCAGATGCTGGGCAATGGACTCGTATTTATGACGGTTGCCATGTGAACAATTGCAGGGATTCACTTAACAACATGGGACGAGGAAGGTCGTAAAATAAGGCAAACCTCCGTGAACGAATGACTCGGTTAGCAACATAAATTTATGGGCTCCCCTGTGGTCATAAGTCGAGGACTGAGTGGCCACTGTCAGACCCAGAAAGAAATGGGTGTTTATTTGTTTATCTCTTTGGCTGTTTCATAAAATATATTCATAAAAACATATTTTATGACTGACAGGCTAACAATTTAGAATATTCTAAATATTCTAAATATTCTATTCTATTCTATTCTATTCTATTATAGAGTAGAGTAGAGTAGAATAGAAAATAAATAGGAATGGAATGGAATGGAATAGAATGGAATGGAATGGAAAGAAGGAAAGGAAAGAGGAAAGGAAAAAGGAAAGGAAAGAATTCAGAATGGAATGATAGAATAGAATAGAATAGAATAGAATAGAATAGAATAGAATAGAAT